CTCCACATGTAAAGCATCATGAAGGTTTGTACTTTGTAAGTATTTTACCTCTATAGTTGATTGATTTGTTAAGATAAGGTCCACATCTATATTTTCTGCATTTTCAGAGAAGTATGCTTGAGAGGAAGCCATCCTTTTGGCAACAAGGAGATAAATACTAAATGTTTATATATCATATTTTCCTTTTCAGTATGTCCAAAATGAACATCATGTATCCTTATTTTGTGTTTGAGATGTCCCTTTTGTTGTTTTCCTGTTCAATTTCAGTGATTTCACCTTAAACTTTGTAGATTCTACAGCCAAAATGCTAGTCCTTATCTTTATTCCAAAAAGATTAAAAAAGAAGGAATGGAAGAAAGGAATATATTGCACAAACAACATCTTCTTAATAATTATACCAGCTTTAAAGCATAACAGACATCGATGATTCACTTTAATTTGTAGTCTAAAAGACACAGAGCTTAATGCTAAGATTATTACATAACAGAAACCATCATAGTTATCCTTTCAAGCGAATGCTTTTGCAGCAAGTCTTCGACCCCCACCAAATTAAAGTTGATTGGCATTGATCAGCAGGCCGTAAACAAGTGTAGTTACTAATCATATTTATCTCATTGAAGACCAAATGTCAAGTTATTAAAAGAAATGATTGGTCAAAATCATGGTTGTCAACATCAAATTGTACAACAACTATTATACTTAGTCTAATTATTTAAGTAATCTTTAGATAAGAAACACACACACAAAAAAAAAACTTAACTTGCTATTATTGTATTGTATATCAAAGAGGAACAAAATTGTTTGACCCAAAATTTAAATCCGGGTTTAACCAATTAGATTTAATAAAGTAGAGTCAATCTTAGCTAATATTAATATCCAAAATACAAGATAACCATTTTTGCAGTAGGTAAGGTGTATATTTGACCGATTAACACTGAATTTGGATAATACTAACAATATTCAATGACCCAAAAGGTGGTAGATAGCATTAAATACTAATAAATAGCAATTAATGCCATTTAAGTAAATAAGAACATGCGAATCACCCGAAAAGGGGTGAGATTTGTGGATATTCCTTCTAATAAGGATGCATGATTGATGAGCCTTCGAATATTCAAGTAGTTCTTGGATCAAGTGAAAAATTATGCAAGAATCGTAATGAAAAGGTATTTCTTGTGTCCCTGCAATAAAGCCAGATTCTCTCTATAAAGTCAATGTGTTTTCTTATAAGTGAATATCTTATATATGCCCCCATCCTTGTGTCTCTTTCTCTTTGTAGGGAACATATACCTAGAATACCCTAAAGAATATCCACCTGATAATGTCTCCTAAAATTAGCCGTTATTATCACTCTATTTACGATGAGTGCTCAACCTCGATTCTGGTCTTCACTGACTCTTCGATCTCGATCTTTGTTGACTTTTCGACCTTGATATTTAATAGCATTATCAGCCCTTCCCTTCACTTCTTAAGAGTTCACTTCGAGGTCGGGCGGACCTTTATCTAAGCCGTACTGACGACACGTGGCAGTCTGCGAATGCCTCTTTAATATTAACATGGTTTGATCATGTCAAAGGTAATTTTTGACCCATACAAAAATAATATTATATAAAGAGGTAGGTTCAAGTACGCATTGAGAGGTACTAGCGCATGACAAGGAATTACTTAAAGAATAGTAGTAATATTTTTTTATAGTGTTACTTAGGTTGACGGGAAACTCAATGTGCCGGAAAATCACACAACATAAATACAATAGTTTTTGGTATGTGTTAACTTCTTGTCTTGACAAAATCCTTGCACTAATTTTCTTAAAATATCACTGTCCTATTCTTCTTGTCAACAAAAATATGATGCCTATTAGTACTTCTTTTCTTTTTATTTTATCTTTTCCCCCGTTTTGGAGGTGGGCAATGAGCATGCGTTTATTGAGTCAAGCATTATTCAGTATGAAGAGCTTATTTCTATGCTATAGATTGAGGAAGAAACACACCTGCAGATATGCTTAGTCCATTTTGATGAAGCTTTCATCTTGAAAGGAGTTGAAGACAGGGGACGTGGATGCAGCTTTACCTTATGAACTCAGTGGTTGTTTGATACCAGGGATAATGATAATAATTTCGCGATATAGTTAAAAATTATATTTAGCTCATGTTTGGTTATAAATATTAACTAATCTAGAGATAAATTTTATACTAAAACGATGAGATTAGATATCATATATATAAAAGGTGGGATAGCTAAATCTCATTGGGTATCACACCCATAGGATATTCTTTTTTGTCTCGCCAACATAAATTTATAAAAATACACTGAAACTGCAATAAGCAGTGGATATGTATAAACCCATAGCTTAATAATCCTAGATTCCCGTCTACTTGTTGACCTGTTTCCAACGGATAGCGTTAGTACTCAATATGTCATAGTTTGAAGTCTAGAATACAGGTAGTTAATTTCATGACCATTACATACCTTTAAATTTCCTCAACTATGTGGGGAAAAGAAAAGGAGAATAATTAAAGCAGATCTATTAGCCTACTTATTTCATGTCTCATCTTCGAGATATTGTGTACATTAAACATATATTAAACCGTTTTAAATAAGTTAAAGCATTTCTTCCACCCATGAGTTAAATTAATAAAAGAAAAAAAATTGGAGTTACAGTATTTGAATTTCTAGGCATCTGTTTTCATATTACAATGTTACAAGTGTCATTCTCAGAAAAATATACCATAAATAGGAAGATGAGTGATGGGTCAGTTACGGAGTGTGTGGTCTCACGCTGAATAATTCCAATGTGTTGAGGACATGAGCAGTAGGGGGCCACCATTTTACCCAAACGAATACTATTTCTCTCCACTGACCGATTAATAAAGTTGGACATTTCCCTTGAATTATTAACAATTGTCCTCTTTAGCAAGCATAGTATGTGGCGTCGTGGCACACATGCAAGAGTAACGACAATTTCTGAATACGACCTCTCCCTACCAATTTTTAACAACCAGGCCCAGTTCATCTTCCTATAGGAAAGAGCATGTTTTATCCGGAGGAAGAAATAATTATAGACAGCTGCTTTGGTATATTAGGGTTTGTTCTCTTTGAAAGGTAAAGCTTTTCCAAGTTCTGTAAACTCTTCTGTACTATCTAAAATGGAGCTACTTTATTCTTCCATTAGATAATTTAGTTTGAAATAATAATCAAAAATTTAAAGAATAAAATTAGAGCTTTTTAGAAAAATCGAGACACACGAATCCATCCTTTATATTCTGAAATTTGTTAAAAGAATAAATATGAAACAATTTACTAACAAAGAACTGATACTTAGTTGAATAATATTAAAAACAATAATATACCCAGCATATTTCCACAAGTTAGCTGAATTTTTGAAGAGGATAGTACGTGTGTGAGCTCTATGTTAGGATCGCAATAATCAGGTGTCATGCGCAAGCTAGTAAAACAACTTTGAACAATGATAAATCAGGCAATAAAAGAGAAATATATCAAAAGAAACACAAACATCTAACGTGGGGTCTATTGACCTATATCTACGGTCGGAGATGAGTAATCCACTATATAAAATATATTATAAAATATCGAGAGAACAACCTCACAAAGAGGCAAATACAAGTAGCACACTACTACTTGTCCTGAAAAATTCTTCCCTTAAGTCCAAACCTTTTCCACCCATAAAAGGGACTAAGCAAATATTACAGATTTATAATTTCTTTCTAAAAGCTCAATTATAGTAAACATGTTGCTATTCCCTTTAAGATGTAAGAAAACTAAATATAGTAACAAAATTAGGATATCCATCTAACACTTTACCCTACATAATGTAGATTATTTACAATAGACCCTATAGCAAATGAACAAATTTGTACCTTTTCCCTAACTCTAAATTATAGAATCCTATAGATTAATGATCTCTTGAACGCAGAAGTTTGCGATAATTGAGGTGTTGTATTGTAGCAACTCAGTTTATCGTCCAGTCACTACTCTTTTTATCAGCTTAACTTTGGATCTTATCCTCTCCCACAGTTAGTAAAAAACTGTTTATATTCACGTTTAACTTCCTTAATTTTTTGTTTCTTATCATTTCATGAAAACTGGAGTGATTTTATTTTGTGTCACACACAACTTATACTAGTTGTGTGAGGCTTCTTTTTATCTCATATATTTGTGGACTCATATCTTACACATCCGGATTCACAAAAATTCTGGGACCACACAGTTGTGAGACAAAAAAAAGAAAGGCACAAAATAAAAAATTTCATGAAAACTGTATCCTGTTTCGCGAACAAGATCTTTCCTTGGGTTGAATAAACGACAAGAAAAGAGTAAAGATCAAACAGAGATCCAGGACTCATTTATAGCATGCTTTATCCGTACGACTGTCTATTTGTAGTGTTTTCATTTTCGCGTGCTACTAAAGAGCGCTAATAGTAGTAAGAGGGTGTTTGGCTAAGCTTATAAGCTGGTCAAACTGGCTTATAAGCACTTTTTGGCTTATTTACGTATTTGGTAAAATTAAAAGTGCTTATAAGCCAAAAACCATAAGTTGGTCTCCCCCAACTTATCAAATTTCAGCTTATAAGCACTTTAGGTTTGACCAAAATATTTACTATTCTATCCCTAAAATATTTTTTTTAAAACAAAACTCTTTGTATATCTAATTTTTTAGCTACTTATTATTAATTTCAGCACTTTTATCCAAACACGTAACTGCTTATTTTTTAAATCAGCTTCAGCACTTAAAAGTGCTAAGCCAAACCGGCTCTAAAACTTTTGACACTACATACGTATCTCTGTTGTTTCTCTTCTAAGAAGTGACAATTCCCTTTTGGTATGTTCTTTGTATTCCCACAAAAAATGGAATGGATAGGGAACCAGAAAACTCTCCTGATTGCCAGCCCATATTTGCATATACTTTCACTTCACTCCAAAAATCTCTCAACCACTCCTTACCTTAATGGAAAGTAGTGAACAACACATTGAACACAATGTAAATTGCATTACATTTTTAATTTCCAATAGCATTAAGAGCATCGCTCCTTCTATATTTACAAGGATAAACATCCGTTAATCAAAATGAAGACTTACGATATTACAAATACTGCTGCTACTACTAATTATTGATCAGATAACACTAGGAGCAGAAGATGGACAACCTTAAAAAAGAGCAAAAAGCCAAAACAAAACAGAATAATCCATCTTCCATCTCCAGAATATTAAAAACAACCAAAAATAGAGATTTGCTCCAGTTCCACTACTAAAATCTTACTACTATTATATATGTACATAGAATTATCTTCTGAATTTTGATGCTTCCAAATGATAAGGAGTAATACTGGAAAATAGATCTTTTACCTTCTCCCTGCTTAGTATTCGCATGCAGGGGACTGGCAGAAAGAAACAAAAAGGAAAGCCCCATATTTCAAGTAGATGCTAAAAGTATTTCACTGAATCAGTTCAGAGATCCAACCAACATCCGGGTTCGGAGCTTCAGACAGGACCGGGTCGGATACCATCCCATCTAATGGATTCTCTTTACTCAGTTTCTCAAACATTTTAGCCCTTAAATCCCTCCCTGACTCTACCCTCTCCATAACTAGTTCTTCCTCGCAGAGATCAAAGCAACAGACACCAGGTCGGTTGAAGGCCCGAGTTGGCGTTGACGGCAAGCTACAAAAACCGGGTCGGTTTACGGGTATCCTGGGTGACCCGAGGACAGGAGAGCCCATTTGTAAATTCCAGGAAGAGGGCATGGACTTCACCTTGTTCAGCTGCAGTTGACGAAGTGACGCCACCATTTCATTGATCGAGTAATTAGACCCTAGAGATCGACTCAGCAAGCTCACTGAGTTGGTCGTCTGAGTCATCGGAGACATCGGCGGCGACTCACAAGGTGGCGAACCTGATTCAGGAGACGTTATAAAAGGCAAATTTTTCCCCTCAAAACCGTACCTGGAAATGGAAGGAGAACCAACATACGAATCGGCACGCGGACTCAGTACACGGATCTGTTCCGGTGAGTGAGCGAAGAAACAAACCCTTCTCTTACAATTGAGACCATCTTTACAAGGCTGCGTACGATAGCGTGCAGGGTGGAGCCAACACTCAAATACGCCGTGAGCGAACTCACAGCCATCGCCTTTCCTACAATTTCCTTTACGGAACTCAGGGCATGCAGTGCCTGAATAGTTATACTTACGTGGGTCCCTCCGACGAGCCTTCTCGCCGGGATGTGCGTACGGACACTCCGTCCAATCGTGTGACTTCCCACGTGCGCACTTTCTCACCTTGAACTCGTACATACGGAACTGATCACAAGAGTATGCATCTACCGGAAGGTCAACATCCCTACCTTCGCCGTACTCAAAGTCAAAATCACTAACGACGTCGTTGAACGGAAGGTAACGCTGGAGCGCCTTCAAACCGTTGTCGTTTTGGGGAAACATGGAATAGTCTTCACCAGAAGCGGCACTGAAGCTGGGGCTTGAATTAGCATTGCCGCTTGGGCTTAAAGTTAGGTGCATGTTATCCGTCTGATTATCTCCGTACGACCATGGTGGAATATGAACCGTCGGATAAGGGTGGTTTCTCTCTCCGATCATCATCTTTCTATGTAAAGAAGAATGGGGCTTCTGTTTGGACTATGGACTGGACATGGTGATGTGCAGCAGTTGATATATAAACTGCTGGATGAGAGGGGGGGGGGGGTTTAACCTTGGTTGAGTTACATTTAACTGCGGTTAGGATAAAAAAATAGGGAACTAGAGATTTCCACTGCGGTTAAATTAATGAGGATACCTAAAGACACAGGAAGGTGAATATTTTGACATGAGAATTGTATAGTGAGAGGACACGTGTAGTTCGGGCAAGGGGTTTTTAGGATATGTTTGGATTTTATTTGATATTGTTGTGTGGGTTTGATTGGGTTGTGATTAAAGTTTTATGTGGGCGTTATAAGGTAGGTTGAGTGAATATTTATTTTTATTAAACTGACGCCCCTAGTGTTACCAAGGCGGTGAACCGTTGTATACGCAAAAGAGGAGAAAAGATAGAGAGAGTTATATAGGCCAGAATGCCGGGAATTGCGTGACCAGATTAGACATTTTGGGGTTGGAAAAGAAGAAAAAGGGATTAGACATTTCGGGGCCTTCTCAAATGATTTCTAGTAAACCACTTAAATGCTAATAAAAGTGTTTATCCTAGAATTCGAGTAATAATTAAATTTAAATTATGATTTTAATGATATATGATTTAATCCAACGCCAATTGATAAATAAAGAATTAAATAGATAAATTAAAAAATAAAATAGATCAAATCAATGTGTAAGCTAAATCTCAACCTCGATCTGTGACAATCTCGAGGTATGGTAATGGGATTAACAAATAATAAAACAACTCTTGATGAACAGTAAGTGAAATAGCAAGAGAGTAACGTGTATATATTTTCTTATCAGAGAATAATGTGTCTTACAAATGAATGGGATCCCCCTTTTTATAATAGGGGAGCCCTAAATAAGATACACTTCTAATTATAGTAGGAAATCATATTTGACAACTGTTTAACCGCTAAAGATCAATCCATTCCGAAATTCACGCCGTGATCTCTGGCCTGTTGCGGGTATCTCGCTCTTTCTGTTACTGAATCATACCGGCGTCATCTCGAAGCACGCCTTCTTCTGACCTCGGTAAGTGTTATTGACCTCGACCTTGGAAAGGAACTTCGAACCCGAGCTCGACTACCTTAGCCTTCCGACGTGGTATCACTTTTTCCATCGAGGGGAGAAATCGAGTAGCCTCGATTTTCACCGTATACAGATAGTCCCCTCGTTTCTTAGAATAAAATGATAAGAAACAATTTGAGCCTCAATTTTTTGGAGGCCCCGATAATGACGTTATCCCCGTGACGTAAGCGCTCGAGGTGATCGAAACGTCCCGTCGGTTCGTTTCCCCAAAACATTAAATGCTTGTCAGTGACGGTCGGCCACAAGCGCCAGAGAACCGTCGCCGTGAACCTATAAATACAGGTTTCCCATTTGAATCAAAACTTTACTTTCATCTTCACCAATTTCTCTAAGTCTTTTCCTCTCTCCATCTCTTCTCTTCCACCGCCCGTTGATTCGGTCATTTAGGACCCTGATCGGCTCCAACCCTATACCACTATAAAATGGCAAAGAGTGGTTGATGCAACTTTTACCCGAAAGGTCAGGATCGATATCCACAAGGAGCTAATATTGGTTAGGAATTGGGTTTCTATCCGACCTAGCTATGCATGTTGTTCTTAATTGCACTTCTAACCATGCTTTGTTTTGTTTCTATTCTAACTTTTATGCTAATGAATGCTGAAAGTAATCTAAGTATAATATTTTTGTAAGGGTTTTCTCAATTAATAAAAGGCACTAGGCAAGTGACTTACACCTAGGCGAGTATCTAATGGGGTCTAAAAATTAGGACAAACTTGTTATATCTGGGATCATGATATAACCATTGCACATAATTACTCACTCTATACCTCTCGGTAATTCGAGTGACTTTGCCCGAATTGGCTTTCTCAAGCCCAATTGGGTGTCCAAACAATGCAAGCAAAATTGGCTCAAGTCGGGTATTACTATCTCTAGGTTTAACCCTTTAATTGGGGCTATCAATCTCTTGAATGCACCCAATTCCTTGTTAGCCTGAATTTTCTAGACTTAGTCTCTTTTTCTCAAGAAGAGTCTAAGTCATATAGGCACGAATCAGTGTTTGCAACCACCAATTCAACAATTAAAGCATGAATCAAGCTAAATATCATTAACCCATAAACAATACTAAAATTGAAGACCCATTAAATACTCATACTACGGTTGGGTCACAACCCTAGCTAATGGTTTAGCTACTCATAATCAAGGTAAAAGTCAAAGATGGAGATGAAATATAATCCATAAAAAGCAATTACAATAGTAAAATCTAAGATTAATTGCTAAAGATGCTCTAAAATTACTCTAAGAAGTAAAAAACGGTTGTTCACGTGCTCCTCAAAACAAAAGCTGACCTAAAAATGTGAAAAAGAACTATTTATACACAGCTGAAATTCCTGGACAAAAATACACCTACGGAGGTTTCGCTATCAGCAGAATACTGAGCGCCTCAGCACTTGAACTTTTGCGGCCGCGCAAAAGCAAGCGCGGATCGCGTTTCTTCAACTTTGGACTGTGACTGGGCTAGGTTCTGCTGGGAGCGTAAAAATGACCGCCTCAGCGTTGGCTTCAGTCGTGGCCGCGTAAAATGTTCGCGGGCCGCGTTTCTCATTTAAGATCAAATGTCCAGGGTCTCTGAATCTCTTTTTCGCCCTCAGCGCAATTTGCACCGTGACAGCGTATGTTTGTCGCGCTATTTCACCGCGGTGAGCGGTATCTTTTGTACCCCAAAATGCCTCTTCTGAATCTCAATTCCGTTGTCGGCGTTATTGTGACCTTCCGCGGCTTCCCTTTTCCTCCGCTGTTAGCGCTTTTGTCTCAGCTTTGAACTTGTGCAGGTTTTACTCCTTTATGAGTTGGTTATGCATTTCTTGATTCATTTTGACCAAACACTGTAAACAAGCCCAATAAATTAGTTTTCAGGAATACTATTACACATTTTTGATCCAAAACCTAAGCAAAAAGGAGCATAAGATAGGCTAGAATCCCTAGTTATCAACTCCCCCAAACTTAAGCTTTTGCTTGTCCTCAAGCAAACAAAGTAATTCCTACCTCCAAAATGTAAAAGAAAGAAGAATTTCAGCTGTTCTAAGGTGACTTCAGTAGGCATCACTAGGGACTAACAATTACCTTCAACTCAAATGCATTATTAACAGACACACAACCTTTTTAGTACGATAGCCCTAATGCGGCACAAAAGCATCAAGAGTTGACTTAGCTCATCAAGGAAACTCTTTCTACTGCATAGGTCATTGTGCAACCCAAACTCTTACTTCTCTACTCTCAATATGCAAACCTCACTTTAGATTGTAGCCCTTAGAACGGGGATTGAGGTAAAGACACTCATCTCTCTCAAAGGAAGGTCACAAGTCTGGCTCTAAGTACCATAAGTTTGCCCCTTATGTGAATCACCACTAATGTAAGCTCACTCAACTCGAAATCATATAGGGCTTTTGCGGGAATGTAATGAAGGCTTTTAGTTCAAGGTAGAATATATCAATCTATGAAGGTTTCATCTTTCCTTAAGCACTTCATTTTCTTCATTTCGGCTCACATTTTCTTGACTCTTTGAGTCATTTTCTTTTTCCCTAGGAGACTAGAGAGACACACTGTCACTCTTTCTTGTTCATGTCAATCCTTTTTCTCCTTTCTAATCATTCCAAGCCTTTCATCATTGCTTTTATTGAATCCCTTCATTTTTTTTACATTGTTCACTTTCTTTTTGACTTTTTGGCTTTTCTTTTTCTTTCTTTTTGCCTTCCCTTTTCTTTATTTTGTACCTTTTATCACTTTTGCATTCCTCGTCTCTCCCCCCAAACTTATACTTTTACCAATTGTGCTAAGGAAAGATCAGGTGCCATGAGAGGATCATTTTAGAACGGATAAAGGCTTGTATCATGGTTATTGAAAGAACAAAGGCTATGGCTCACAGGGTTGACTAGGGATAACATATTTGGTGGGATATGGATGCTTTCAAGTCTTAATTTGGATCAAGGAGAGCCTATAATCATTTCTCAAGTCAAGCTACACTTAGAATTTTGCCTAGACAAACATTCCGGGCAAGTTCTAGACTTATTGGCACGGGACTTGGACTTGCAAATCAATACCTCATCTCACAAGCTTTTGGATTGCTAAAGAGACAGAGTCGAGGGCCCAGAACAACCTTAGCTATGATTTGAGCAACACAAATGGTCCAGAAAAACCACTCGATGATTGTTTAGTCAACACAAGAGTCTAAAGATCACAACTAGCACCATTCCTTGCAAATCTGTTTGTTTCTAACCATAAGGTTAAGGGTAAATGTGCTAGGCCCAAGTGAAGCTTTGCCTAACTCACTTTTATTCATTACTACTATTTACACAAAAAGAAAAAGAAAACGGACTCAAACCCTTAAGAAGGTTGTCATGCCATCCATCATCGGGAAGAGCCACCCGGTTCACTCAAACTCCGCCTTTTGAAAGAACCGTGGCATTAAGAAAACCAAATGCTTATTGATCACGAAAACTTGTAAAAGTAAGAAGCTACAAACTGAAAAAGAAGCTACTAAATGAAATAAGAAGTTATGCTATTAAGGAAAATTGCAAAAGAAGTTATAAAGTAAAATACGAAAAGTAAAACAAATGTGTACAATAGGGGATTGAGATGAATATACATAAGGGGGAATGAGTATATACACGGAGAGGTAACTTTATATATATACCGAATTGAAAAATAACGAAATGTGAAAAATAAGTGGTAAAGTTATATACATACCAAAAGTGAAAAATAACAATAACAAAAAATAAGTATCATATTTACATTCCAGTCATCAAATCAAAAATAGGACCACTTCCCTAAATAAAAACTAACATTGTCCTCAATGTTAAAGCAAAAATAAGATCAAAGAGGGGTTAGAGAGTAAAGAAAACTCCCTATGTGGTCTGCGTCGAATTCTACACATCAGTGGGGTCAGCTCCCTCTGGGTCCTGTGGCTGGCCCGATTCACCTCCCTCAGGGTC